CGGAATTCATTACAGAAATCCAATTTACAATTGCCCGTTCGTCGAATATATACAGACTCGAGGGGTGGACGAGGGGGAGGAGGCGTTAATTAGTCCGGAGGCGCCTTGTTTGTCGGTGTGATTTACCAGCCGTTGATCCAGGAGCTCGGTTCTCATATTATTTAATAAATGATCCGGTCGGATATTCGGAGTACTTCCGGCTCGAAGGAGGGGAGGGAATAATCCCGTGGAACAACGGGGTCAGAACGGTTTCGCCCCCGGTTTATGGATTTTCCTGGTAAACGTTGTTTTGCCGGCTGCTACGCTGATTAACCGAATAAATTATATCGTTGTCGAGGGCCGATCGTCGCGAGATCGCGTCAGCTTGTTCATCCTAATTTTTCAATACTTTCTTCAATCTCGATCACTCGTTACTGAAAAGCAATGTTTCCAAAATGATTGAATTAAAATATCCACGTCCTCAGAAATAAAATTCGACTGTATCAAGATGTTATGCTGTGATCGTTCGATTTTTTTACTTCAATCTACATTTCATTCTCTCGTAGTTTCAATCTTAAATTTTTATATTTCGTGTTATTATTATTTCTTTCTTTACGAAGAAAGTTTAAAAAAAAAACCTTAAGCAGATAATATATTGGAACGAGAACTCGTGCGCACCGGCGATGTTTCTTTTATGTATTTCGCTCGAACGCGAGATATTTGTTATCGTTAGGAAGGTACTGCTGGATTGAAAATGACCGAAAGAACGTGGCTCACATTATTTATAAGTCATTTCAAAACTTTGCTTCCTGGATATTATATATGTACATGATATTTAAATTTTCTCAGAAAATCCAATATCAATCATAAAAGAAAAAAAAAAAAAAAACAAAGACCAGTCCAAAGGTCTTCTTCCTGTTTATAATTCAAAATATAAAAATATAAAATAGAATATAAAATATAAAATAAAATATAAAATATATAATTATATAAATATATCTCTTATATAAATTTTTTATTCATGATATACGAGACACATGTTATTAATCATTGAGAGAGATCGCCAATCTCTGTCTTAAATAGTATCTACAAAGAAAAAAAGGAAAAAAAATGTAGACAGAGACAAGAAGACACTGTTGAATCAATGAAAAGCGTTCGTCCTGCCGTTTCGACACTCTCGTAAACGTGTAAATTGTTTCGAGATTCGTCGAAGATTGCGCGTTGAAATCGGCAAGCGATCTATGGGTCGATTCGGCGTGAATTATGGCGAGACAACGATCTGTAACTGATCTGAATCACACTGTTCTCAATGGGGCCATTCATTCGCACATTGTGCTCTACGCCTAATCTATTTTAGACTATATTCTATAGCCGATCGATCTAAATCACCAGCGCGCGGTCTGCCGCTGACTGATGTGAATTCAACTGTACACTGTACGACCGATCGATCCGTCCAGTCTCGCCGGTCCAGTCTATTCGACGTTAATCTTCGATGATCTACAGTCGTTCGATCAAGTCTCGTCTCGTTTGCAAGCATACTCGACTCTTTCTCTTTCTCTCTCTCTCGTCCCGATTTGTAATAGTTTGATGCGAAGATTTATGAAATATTTGAACTATAAAAATTATATATTGTTAATTTCTGGAATTACAATGTTTCAGTCTCATGGCGAATTTCGAAAAAGATTGTTGAAAAATTTTTGCTTTGTCAACAGTAACAATAAGTCAATTAGTTTTTTATCTTTAAGAATAAGCATTCTTGCATTATTTATTCATGATATACTTCTATATACATCTATAATACTTATATGGGTAGGAAGATTTATTCATTGGATAAATCGGTAAAGGAATATAATTGAGTTTCGTGATTCTTACAACAATGCACGAACAATTGCAATGAAGAGCATGACTGTATCAAGGACAGTGACACAAAATGGTCGACAATTTAAATTGATAAAGTTTATCAGAGAGATGGGAGATAATTGGTCTATAAAAAAGAGTTACATTTTACAAGAACAACGAGTGGATTATCTTGGTTGCCACGTCGAAAAGTATCGTACAAGCTACGTTGAGACTCGTAATTATTACAACGACACGTGAAGTTGTAATATATACGATAATAGAAGAAGAAAGTTTAAGAAGAAAACGACAATAGGGACGATCCGTAATTTCTATGAATTTCATTCAACAACTGAAATGGATTATTTTTACTAGCCAAGACAAAAAATGATACTTTTGCTTACGACACATGAAAAGTTATGTGTATACGAAAGGTATATAAAAAAAAAAAGTTCAAAAAGAAAGCGATCCGTAATTTACATCTAGCAAGAACAACGAGCAAATTATTTTTATTAACGTAGAAGAATTATTGGCGCAACGACTTCATCATTTCTCGTAGAAACGTTGAGTTTCGTGTAATTTCAAGGATACGTATTTCGAGATTATAATTACCGAAGACGGACGGACGGACGGACGTGCAGCGTAGAAGGAGAAGACGGTTAGGAGATGGTTAATGGATCCGAGACAAGAATTCTGGTAAATCACAGGTGACACAGGCTCCGAGCCTGTCGCGGCGGTTAATCACGCGGGATTACGCGAGTTTATCGTGGCCTGTTTGCCGACGAGTGATTACTCGCGTGAAGCTGGATCGCTTTTGCGGAAGCTGGAGATTAATTTTCAGCGTAATGCCATTGCCGAACGAGAGCGAAAGAGAGACTCGCTCGATATAATCCCGGCGGTTGTACGAAACCGTCTCGACTGTTGTCTCGCCAGCGCCTGTACCTGCCACGGTCTCATTCCATCGGCCAACGTTTATCCGTACATTTACCTCTCTGCAAATATCGCGTAAGATTCGCAAAACATTCTGCTCCATTCAAGTCGCGTTAAAGTTCTGAACAATCGACGAGCTTCCCGGAAATTTTTGGTTCGGTTCCTGACGTTGTCGCAAAACAACAAACATCGAATGAGATCGAACGATCAGTTAACTCAGAGTTGGTTAACTGGCGGCCGTGTACCTAACCTAAACCTACCAAAAGCAAGTGGAGAGGGTCGATGCAGTGGAGGGGGTAGCGCTAGCAAACAGGAAAGTAGGGGCAAAAGCCGCCAGTTAGCCATCTCTGAGTTAATCCCTTGACATACAACGACGTCACGCGTTTAATGTTAAAAAATTATTGAATTATTGATTTGTTCTTCCATCATTTTTGTTTTATTAATTTCGTTTATAAGTATAGCGTTCATGACATTTTGACAGCATAAATATAAGAATGTAAAAATGATCTTCGTTAAGATTAAAATGTGAAGTTTAATGTCAGTTTGTTAAGCTTAATGTTAAAATGAAAAGTAAATATCATTTTTCGGTCGTATCGAATTTCATTTAATTCGTGTGTCAAAGGATTAATATCGACACCGGTACCGACTCCGCTTTAACGAGCGGCAATTGACGAGCGCGTGACGATCCGACGACTTTGTCCGCCACCGGCTGAAAATCCGATTGCGAACAACACCAGCGACAATACAGTCGCGCGCTGTTTTGCCCTCTTTTCGTCCGATCGATCGAAGTCGCAACGATTAATACTCGCGAGTGGTAAATCTCGGGTCGGAGTTCGAGGCCAGGTATCAGCCAGTGAGCTTGACTTTCAAAGTTCCCGGGAATATAAAGTCAGAAAAATTTTTGACACGCACGGCTGCTCGATCGTTCGAGAGGGAAAAAAGCCTCGCTTACGAAGCTCAATTCTTACAATGGAATTCATCTCCTTTGCGAACTGAAGTTTCTTCGATTTCAACGAGAGACCCAAGTACAACGCCTCTGAGAACAGAGCGGATCCTCCGGATTTCCTTTGAATTACTAACAATTCGCATTCGGGGAAACAGCATTTGCAAACGTCGGTCTTTTCGGCACGTGAAAATTCCAAGGAAAGCCAACGACCGCGTCGCTCGCGGAATGACCGAGTGCTTCCCTAACCCTGAGACGATTCTTGAATTTTTATATTTCCGTCCTTTCTTTCTGCTTTAGCTTCGGCGAGCAAAAAGAAAGTTCCACGAGAACGTTAAGCGCGAAAAACTGAGACAAGAAAGCATACGTACCCTGCTCGAGCAGGAGATGTTTATCATTCCTGGAAGAACATCACTGAAAGAACGTGGCACGGTCGAAATCGTTCGACTTCAAGTTCGTACAATGCGACTTGCTCTTCTTTTCTTTTCTTTCTTTTTTTTTTTTTTTTTTTTTTGCAAGCTGAAAGTCTAACGAAGAAACTTCAACGAGAGACCTTAAATACAACCCACCGAAGAGTAAACGAACGTCCTCTCTTTCTATTCAAATACCGGCGATCTGCGAGAAAAGAAAAAGAAAAAGAAACCACGTCTTAAAATATCATCCCTAGTTCGCGAGGAATTCTGAAGAACGCGAGGAAACGTCGTTTCCATCCCCTATTTTCGTCCTCGACGCGACGACGATTAAGAATGTTTCGTCGTTGGGGGGGCGCGTCGTCGTCGCGACGCTTTCGGGATCGTGGCAAATTGCCGGTACACGCTCATGCGGGCTGATTCTCGTCGAGAGGACCGCGTCACCCTCCATCAGAGCGAGACTCCTCGCGAAAGAGCAGTCTCAGCCTATTCGATTCCGGGAGGGAACGCGAGAAAACGCGTCGACAGCCAGACACTCGCCTTCCATTTTGCTTCCTCTTCCGAGTCCACCCCCTTCACTTCCTTTCACCCATATCTTTCTTAACTCTCGGCTCTTTTCAATATTTCTCTCCGTCCTCCTTCTTAAAATTACTTTTTTTTTCCCCCCACCGATCTTTCACACGACACGTTTCTTCTTTTCTTCCCTTTTC